GCATCATTAGCTTTTTGCAATCTTTAAGAGCATGAATGCTTTCACTGATTATGATGATTACATGCCATAAAGTCATTCCTGAGTCGTAGTGACTGCATAGATTTTCTCCATGATGATCCATTCCTAACCTGGTCCTTCAGATCTTCTAATGTTGCACTCATCAGTACTATAACTGAGTCTATTCACCTTGCTGCTGGTTGTCTTCTTCTTTTTCCCCTCACCTTTCCCAGCATTTGACTCTTCTCCAGATAGTTAGATCGTCACATAGTGTGTCCAAATTATGAAAGTAGGATAATTTGAACCTGGTCATTTGTGTCTTGAATGAGAACTCTGAGTTGATTTGTTTTATGGTCCATTGTTTTATTATTTGGCTGTCTAAAATAATCTCAGAAGTTTTCTCCCACACTAAGGTCCAAAAGCTTTGACACTTTTCCTATTCACTATCCTATTAATATCTAAGTCATTAATATATAATTAGAAAGAAAAAAACAAGAAATCTGCAAAAACCAGTAAGTCTTCCAGAACAACATGAATATGCTTAATACTCCTGTCTCCTATTTTTCTCACAACAACAATCCTGGATTGGACTGACATAAACTGACTGACCCAAAATCACCCAGATGGCTTTCATGCCTAACTCACACTCTCCTTGCTTCTAGGCCAGCATTTTAACCACTGCACCATACTGGCTCATGTCAGTTTCTTCCAAAATGCAGAGTTATGGTTTTAAGCCATACTTAACTTTTTCCTTTTTGTTTTTTCAGTCTTTTGTGTGGTGTATAAAACCTTTCTAGATTTTAAATGAGACCTGGGCATTTTGCACCCTGTGGGCCACATTTGGCTCTTTGGCTATCCCTGTCTGGCCTGTGGTGATACTAATAGTGGTGGGAGATGGGGCATTGATGGGAGTGGGTATCAAATGGTGGGGCAGCAAGGAAGGGGGGCGCGGCAGCTGCCCTCCAAACAGTCCGTTTCTCAGGTGGCCCTTGGGAAAATTAATTGCCCACCGCTGTTCTAAATGTTCATCCTTTGCTATCTGCAGATTAAACTAGAAAATTACCTGAATTTCAAGCACCTATATCTGGTACCTGCAAACAGCTGGCATGATGGAGGTTCATTAATGTTTGCTGTTCTGTAACCTACTCTCTATTTTAACAGAACCTGAATTCTAGGGCTTAGTTCTATCTGCACCCCATATCAGCATAAACATGGCCTTTAACAATAGTGGGGGACAAGAAATATCACACTGTTAAAGTTTTCTGTAAACTCAGGATGAATGAATGATCTTTCAACTCAACAGTAGAAGACCTATCATAATGTTCCATCACTGGAGGTTTTAAGAAGAGATTGGACACCCATTTGTCTGAAATGGTATAGGGTTTTCTGCCTGAGCAGGGGGTTGGATTAGAAGACCTCCAAGGTCCCTTCCTCCTCCTCCTCCTCCTCCTCCTCCTCCTCCTCCTCCTCCTCCTCCTCCTACTACTACTACTACTACTACTACTACTACTACTACTACTACTGTTGTTGTTGTTGTTATTATTATTATTGTTATTATTATTATTATTATTATTATTATTATTTTAAAATGCTGGGCTTGGAGAGGGAAATCCAGGTTCTAGTCCTGTCTTAGGTATGGAGGGGAGTTGGCACTGCCTTTCAGCCCTAATCAAAGCCAGTCTTTGCAATAAGCCATCTGAAAACAAAACACCCTGTAGCATCATGTACTGAAACTTTGCTGTGTGATCTCTGCAGGCACAGCCTAAAAGAAGAGGCCTGGCAACCAAACAAGATAAATGCTAAGAAAAATAGAAAATAAACTATCCAAGTTTCTGCTGTATACATAGAGCAGAGCCCTTATTTCTTCAGGTCACTAGTATATATGTATGTTAAATATTAATACTTTCTGTCTGGAATTTATAGTTGTCATTGTGTTCTGGCTATTCCTGTTCATTACCCTGTGGACCCATTAAATCTTTATCTTACTGGATAAAATACACTACTGTAATCAAGATCTTTCTCACCGCTTAGAATTTCCCATCCAGCAGGTGTTGCGTGGGTGTCTTGCCTTTCAAGGTTTGGAGAACAGCCCAAGGAAAAAAGATTGTCACTGAAATTAATGGATAAAGAAGAGAAAATCTCCTGAACGCTGCAAAAGAGATGTTGAAACGTCTGCATAGTATTTGAAAAAGCTGGTAAAATAAAACATGCTACGTGCAGTCCTGATTACTGTAGCTCTCCACTGGCTTATCACATATAAATGTAAGTAGTAGAGTACCAATTACTTACTTTGCTTGACAAGTTAAGTTTTAATCCTAATTTTGGTACATGAAATCCAGCAAAATTTATATGGCTCCTATTGGAATTAATGTCACATTTAAGGCTGCCTCCTGAGGCACAATAACTGGGACTAAAATCCATTGAATCTGGTAAAATTTATGTAGAAGTCTAGGAGGCTGGAAAAAGAAATATATTGGTTCATGTGGCACATACCGTAGTTAAGGTATTAGACTGGGGTGAGATCAAGCCAGAAATCAGTTAAGTATCTCTGATCTGGATCTGAATGTATATATTTTTGATTAATAGCTGGCTGTATTTGACTTTGCTGGTTTTGCAACTGTGCTATTGGCTTAAAAAAAATTCTGCCTATTCTTTCTTGCGATGTATCTCTTTCTACCAACTGCTTTCTGGATTACTAAGAGTTTTTCTTCTTTTTAGATGGTGCAGGCAGTGGGGCTATGGTAGAAGCTTCAATAATCCCAGTTGGAGGTAAATATAAACTCATGACATGCATGATATATTTATTTATAATTAAATGCTTCCTTATCCTATTTGTCCGAAGTACTATATTGTTATTACAGCAATACAGATAAAATTATGGATATATTTTAAATTAATCTCTCTCTATTCTTTTTGATGAGAAACCAATCAACCTTGTCTGATCTTGATTAATCTCAAAAAACTAAGGAAGATTTATTTGCCTGCTTATTTCCTGCCTTTATTATTTTTACAAATAACTCAAGGCAGTGAACGTATCCAACACAACAACACCCCAATGGGCTGTAAGTTGCCCTTCGCTTAATTTTGAAAATATATATTACATGCCAGTTTGGATGGCAAATCATCATTGATAGCTTATGGCAATGTGTAAATTCAACAAATTATGGCTTATAGAAGAAATTGATTAAGTAATCCCCTGACTAGCGAGGCTCAGCAAAGAACCTTTTCATGCAGTTCAAAGTGAATAGCCTCAGAATGAATGGAGAGCTTTTATAAAAGATGCAATAAGCTAGGTAGCCTTTGGATGTTTGGATGTCAGAATTCCCCAGAAGGGCATCTCTGAAACATCCATAGTAAAGAGGGGGAGGAGATGATGGGAAAGAGTCCTTACCCACACCACTTGCCACAGCCCTTGCTGGGATCTCTACTTTCACACTTCTATTATCTGAGTTCCAGGCTGTCCAGCGAAAAAGTTGTGCTAGGCAGGGAGTTATGCTGCTAAAACATTCCTGAGTGGGGGAATTTATTTATTTATTTATTATTTGAATTTATATCCCGCCCTTCTCCTTGCGGACTCAGGGCGGCTGACAATCAATTAAAAACACCACTAACAATCACAAGTTAAAATTAATTAAAATGAAATATTTAAATTGTCTAATTAAAAAGTAATTAAAAACCCCTCTAAAAACCCCTCTTAAAAATTATCCTAGGCCAGTCCCGNGATCAGGGATCACCCTGATCTCTGGGGGCAGCTCATTCCAGAGGGTGGGAGCTCCCACAGAGAAGGCCCTCCCCCTTGGGGTCGCCAGCCGGCACTGTCTGGCCGACGGCACCCTGAGGAGACCCACCCTGTGGGAGCGTACTGGCCGATGGGAGGTAATCTGTGGCAGAAGGCGGTCTCGAAGGTATCCTGGTCCGCTCCATTGCCTAGAATCTGGACAGCGTACAAGAGGAAAATCTCCCTTCACCAGCAATCAGCTTTTCCCCTTAGGCCAGTGGTTCTCAACCTTTTTAATGCCGCGACCCTTAACCAGTCGTAAGTCGAGGACTAAACTGGTCGTAAGTCGAGGACTAAACCAGTCGTAAGTCGAGGACTACCCAACTGGTCGTAAGTCGAGGACTTTCCCTGCCCGGGAGCACCGTGCATGCGTGGTTCTGCCCCCTGCGCCGGCCGAGGCGTAGCTGGCAAGCGGCAGAGACGGAGCAGGCCGACCACCAGCTGGCCCAGCTCAAGGGAGGCAAGGCACCCGCCAGAAAAGGGGGAAAAAATGGCGGACAGCCTTGCTTGGCGACCCCTGTGAAATGGTCGATTGACCCCAAATGGGGTCGCGACCCATAGGTTGAGAACCGCTGCCTTAGGCTCCAGTTTTCCTCTTTTAAGCAAAGACACCCAAGTCCAAGTGGGCATGGCAAAATGTGGAACTGGATTACAAACTTAATCCTGGAATATTCGACTGCAAGGCACAAAATTGGGATTGGAGAGAAAAGTTGATCCATAACAAACTTTCTGAAGCTGAGAACTGCATTACAAAGCTGGTAGCAGTCAGTAATTTGTAAACAAACAAAGAGGTGGGCTGATAATTGAAGGAAATACAAAAATCAACTTGTAGCACTTAAAAGATGTTTTGTTTGCTGGTTGCCTTTCTCCTAAAGTTTGTTGGCTTTAGGCCTGAATCCTCCCTGAACCCTACCCCTTTACTGTCACTAGGGAAAACAATGGCTGTTATTGGGGAATACTTGAAGTCCCCCCCTCAAGTTAACTGCTCAAAATTAAAAGATCCCTTAATTTACTTCAGGATCCCAGGCTGGGAATGAAACAATTAGATAATTTCCATTGAGGATTAGGTATAAGTAGTAACTGAAAACTAGTCCTACAACTTCCCTTACTAGTCATCTAGATGATGCTAAAAGATTATTTTCTGATACATCAAATGTGTGTCTCATATTATTAGATGCTCTTGTTTGCTTTTGCATTAAATAAATGTACCATTGTCTCCATTTCCATGCCAGATCCTAATGTAGCAGTGGGAAAACTATCATCCCAGTCTAGTACATTTGAAGAAAAAGGGGAGTCAAGGAAGGCCATTGATGGATCCCTGGCAAATATCTACACAAATGGAGACTGTACTCTGACAAAGAAGGATTTTGAGCCCTGGTGGATGGTAGATTTGATTTCAGCCTTTCAGGTATCTGCAGTGGTGATCACAAACAGAGGAGATTGTTGTGAGTCATGGATAAAAGGAGCTGAGATTCTGATTGGAGATTTGCCGCAGAAGGGCGGCACGATGAATCCCAGGTACTGGCACAATATTACATTGTCCTCTGAAGTGAGTTTATGAGAAATATGTCTTATGAATCTTAAATCTGAGCATTTCTGTGTGAATAAACCCAACTGAAGCTTTTTAAGACGTAACTCACAAAAATTTAGGAAGAATTAGATTTCCTGTTCTGTAGAATGTAGCATTACAACATTCTGGATAAGTAGCAATTATAGGAGGAGAGACATGTTAGTCTATGGTGGCAAAAAAACAGAGAGAGTTGGTACAATCTTTTCTGACTAATATATTAAAGGGCATAAACTTTAGTGATCTGCAGCTCACTTCATAAGATGCATAGAGTGGCTAGACTGATGAAGGATTGTACACTATATCCCATGAGCCCACATTCAGCCCCTTTCAAACTAAACATGTTTCTGTGAGACTAACCTGTTTCCTATATTGAATAAAATGAGTGTCACAGTACTATACAACCTTGTAGTACGATATGCACAATATAGTTGTAAAACATTGAAAGAATTTCAGGTTTTCTCTGTGTCTTTTCAATAGAGAGTCTTTGACTTTCAACTGTAATATAGAGCCTGATGATCACGGTCATAAGTCATGGTGGTTAGTAAATTAGATCATCCCATTTTACAACTCTTTTGTGGCATTTGTTAAGTAATTAAGTGAACCTACAGTATGTACTGGTTTTGCTGAAAATTGTAAGTAAATGCCAGTTTTTGGTAGAACTGTCATAAAATGTAGACACATGACACTGCAAATGGCCATAAATGTGGCCTGGTATTGAGCGGCCAAAATAATTCTATTAAGTAATTCTCTTGCCTGTCAATTGTAAGTAAGTCCACTTTTGATACCATCTCTATCTTGTCATCTAAAATTTGTTCTACATCTGTCATTTCAATGATAACATCTTTTGGGCATAGTCTATCCATAGAAGCAGACATCATTACAAACATTGTTGATATTGTGATTGTTTTCTGATTCCATCCTTCAAAAGTCTTCTTCAATATATTCATTGTTAGAATGTTTTCAACATTTTTCAGATTATAAATTATTCCTCTAAATTTTAGCCCCATCTAGTGTTCAGTTTATGAAATTGCTTGTTTTGTCTTGTAAATGCCTAAAAGAGAATCTATTTCCAGCAAGCAGCTGTTTGTTTTTTATAATTATTCCAAAATCTTATTATAGAAATTACAATATTTCAATTTTATCTGGACCCTGTCCATTCATAACTTTCTAAAATCAAAATCATATTTAGCTTTTTGCTGTTTATTTTTTAAATTCTAAAGCTTATCATTAAATTTTTCTTTCATTCGGGATTGAAGGCAGACTCATCCCCGTATTTTCAGATTTTTCAATCCAAGTATCTTTAATAGCTTAGAAGTAGTTAATGAGCCATTTCTGAAAGTGATTAGAAAGTGAGGTTTGTGAACTTAGTATCCTTTAAAAAGTGTTTACAACAGCTGCAAGCAAGATAGTTAATCTCATCATCTTCTGGAAAACTCACAGCTATGGAAAACTGCTGTCCTTTGATCTCCTTATGAGGAGCAGCCATCCTGGCTTATCCCAATCTCCCATCCTGTCCTTAGGTGGAAAGATTCCAAGGAACTATTTTATTAGCCAGTTTCTTAGTCTTTGCTACAGCACGCCATCTTCAGTTTGCCATACCTCCCCTGGAAATCACAATTAAACTTCCCTTCTGATACTTGACATGCAGCTACATCCACTGCTTGCTCTTGATACCACTGTGTAAGCCCAACATAGCACTTTTCAGCTGTTTAGCAGTCATCCAGATTTCTACAGCCACATCTGGTAGCTATAGTTTTAGCTAGGCATGGTCTTTTTCAAAATACTGTACTCCATTTCATTATTGCTTATTTTCATCTCTTTCTGTCAGCATTCCATAGCAATTGAAGAGGCTCAGTTTTTACAGGTAGTACTCGAGTTACGAGGGTAATGGAGCCTGCCCATTCCCCTAACCCAGTGGTGGCAAACCTATGGCACGGGTGCCAGAGGCGGCACTCAGAGCCCTCTCTGTGGGCATGCGTGCCGTCGCCCCAGTCCTAGGTCTTCAGCTGGGTTTTATAAAACCTTTTCACTTTAGGCCTCCGCCGCCGTGTGCCAAAAAAAAAAAAAAGTTCAATCAGTCAATTTCAACTTCTCGTGGGAAAAAAAAAGATCTTGCAAAGTTGGAATTGATTGATTGAACTTTTTAGTCCCACCCAGTCTGCTGTTACCACCGCAGCCATGCCCACCCAATGGGCCACACCCACCCGGCACTCGACGATGCATAAGTGGGTTTTGGGTTGCAGTTTGGGCACTCAGTCTCTAAAAGGTTCGCCATCACTGCCCTAACCCTAACTCAGTAACTCATGGGAGTGAATCTTGTACCTCAAATGAGATCACTCCCTTGCTCGTTAAGACACATGCAGCTTGTTAAGTAAACATGAGGTATCTCAGGGTGGGGAAGGCCACGGAGGATCTAGTGATGGAACAGGCCCCCAAGGCCTCCCCGACCCATTAAGATACCTCATGCTTCTCCCTCCCTTCCTAACGTGCTGGACTCACCTTCAAAAGATTAGTCTCCTCTCTGCTGGAGTTCCTGCTGCCACCTGGAACTGAGGCCGGGGGTCGCTTCTGCGTGCCTCCAGGGGCCGGATAGGGGCTTCAGAGGCCTTTTCCAGGCTACTGCCACTCAGATCTGTGGCTGAGGGATGCTTCCGCAGCCCTCCAGCAACCCAATCCAGGCGCCAGAGGCCTTCTCCAGGCCTCTCTGCCTCCCAGAAACAGACTGCTGGAGGGCCGCAGAAGCGTCCCCCGGCCTCAGATCTGGGCAGCAGTGGCCTGGAAAAGGTCTCCAGTGCCTGGATCATGCCGCTGGAGGCATGAGATGTGTCCCCTGGCCTCAGATCTGGGTGGCAGGGGCCTGGAAAAGGCCTCTGGCACTCCAATCCAGCCTCTGGAGGCACAGAGAAGCGTCCCCTGTCCTCAGATCTGGGCGGCAGCGGCTGGGAAAAGGTGTCCAACGTCCCAATCCAGCCTCTGGAGGCACATGGAAGCGTCCCCCGGATTCGGTTCCGTTCTCTGTTGCAAAGAACACAGGCCTAAAGTACCATGAGATCACGTGAGATCAGTAGCATGAGATCTCGCCCCACTGATCTCGTGTGATCTTGCGTTACTTTAGGCCTCCATTCTCTGCGAACTCACCAAAAGCCTGGAGCAGCCAAGAAAGCGAAGGATCTCGATCTTTGCAGGGTGAGTATTGAAGGCCTAGTGAGACCTGGGGTGGGGGTGGGGATGGAAGGAATAACCAGGATGAATGTTGCAGAACCTCTGCGGTCGCTTGTAAGGGCGAATGACTGCCGTTGGTGCTGCAATATTCGTAATTTCAAAACTTGCTCGTAAGCACTAGCGGGCGCTTATCGCGTAACTTTGAATGAGCGTTAAGTGAACGCTCATAACTCGGGGATTACCTGTACTGTGTTGTTTTGGACCCAACCCCTTTTTCTTACTTCATTTTGTTTTTACTTTTGGAAAACTTGGAAGTTTTTCCTAAACTCACTAACCCTTTGATTAGATGTTGCATTTTGATTGAATGAAAATCCAAAATTTTACTTTTGAGTAGATTACTTAAAAGTTATGTTGAGTTGAACATTAATAAACTGCAATGGTTTGGGGGGAGGTCACGTATTTAGGAGCTGGGTTAAATGATAAATAGCTACTAATCAATGTTTGCTCAGTGCACTAATACATCTAAAACTTACTTTGTGGTAGGATGGACAGCCAATAAATTAAATAATTACATTTCAACTTGTGCATCTATAGTAAAATGTATCTAATTTATAAGACAGTGGAAAGATTGCCAACAGGAGTTACAATCTATATCCTCATCAGAGTTTATTTTACTCACACCAGAAGCAAAGGAGATCGTAAAGTGTAGTTTTATAAGGACCAATATTGGGGGAACAGAGATTACTAGCAGATATGTAAATGTGGTAGATATTGTTCCCTGTGTTCTGAGAATCTTGTGGAAATCATGGCTTCTCTTAGCATGAATGTTGATAAGAGCTCACGCATAAATCCAAGGACTCAGATTCCTGTTGTGCCAGTCTGCAGTTCAATAACAATCTGGCCCCTTGGCAGGTGTACTACAATCAACAGCATGGGACGTGGGGAAACCATGTCATTTAATTGTGCAGGCATGCAAGGACAGTATGTGACCATCACAATCCCTGGGAGATATGAATTCCTAACACTCTGTGAAGTGCAGGTGCTTGCACATCCATGGCTTCATATAGGTAAGCAGAAACTGTGTGAATACTATGAGCACAGTAGTGAATAGAGGATGTATGGCTTATATAATGTTCTGTGTTTACATCTACTGTTTTTCATCGTAATGAGTATGTTGGCTTTTCTTCATACATCTAATATAAGGAAAATATAGACTAAGATGCACATATCTTTAACTGAGAGCACTGATGGTTGCCTGTTTTGTTGAGATAAGGAAAATGCATTCTTGTGGGTATGGAGTGATCAGCACAATATCAAAACAAAGTCTCACAACATCTTTCACTTAATGGAAAAGAAGATAAAAGCTATAGTTAATAAAAATTCAGCAAGTAGGGGGATATACTGGTTTAAAGATGTAACCCTTGGGTATCCTGAAGTTGCAGTATAGAATTTTAGCAGCAAAATGGCTAATTTTTAGAAGTACCTACTTTATTTTTTAAAAAAAATATATGATCAGAATAGGGGACTTTCGGAGGCAAACTGCCTGCATTTCTTATTTTAAATCCGCATCTAGATATCAGAAAAAATGACCTGAAATGCAGTCATTTTGCAAATGAAAATCAGCAGCATGATTTGGGACCAATTTTGTATTTTCAGCAGAGCTTTTAGAGCAGAAAAAAAATAAAATGAATCACAGAATTTCCCTATCGCCATTCCCATCGATTCATTCCAAAATATGGAAAAAGCAGACTGACAAATTCTGCCCTGATCCTTCTGTAAATATTATTGTGGCAATCCTTCAGATTGTGATCCTAATCCTTCAAATATTGTTCTTTCCTACTCTGTTGGCAATATATTGTCCCAGCTTCATGGTATGTCCATAATTCAGTATGAATTTGCATGATTTAAAATACCTGATGACCACGCTCCAACTTGCCTTCAGCTTTCTAGCTAGAGTTACTGCTTTTTCAACCTAAAATACTTGACTTGAATTTTCTTCAAACTTTTCCTACCGTGCCATTTTATGTAAAAGGTAATGTATTGTCATAAACTGAAGGAAGTTGAAGATAAGAAGAAAATGATATGTTCTATCTATATTTGGGGGCAAGAAGCAATTTTTAACAACATAATTAGCCTTTTGTAGGCAGTGTTTTACTAGTTATTTTTATTTAGGAGGAAAGGACTTTGATATCATTTAATGATGTTGATTTGTGATTATGCAATTGATCTGATGACTTTCCTGAAGAGCATGTATTTCTAATCCCAACATCATCTACATGTTAGCATATTGCCTTCCTCTGGTCCAAAGCCTTTCATCTTTTCAGAATTAGGTTCAGTTGAATCACTATTTTTTCTTTTACTGCCAGACAGTTGTGAATTCTGCTTCCCAAATAGAAGACTGATATTAAATGGAGCAGGAAGAATGCTAGAATCTAGGTTCTACTGATTAAGGAAAACTAAGAAGTTTAGGATTTGTATGATTATAGAAATATTGATGAAAATGCCATTCCTGAGACTGCTGATCCTTTATCTTTGATCTACATGGATTTGTTGGACATATTTCTTGTCTTAAAACTAATTTTCATAAATATTCTCATTTAGTTGTAATTTACTCCTGCCATCTTGTAGTTCTTTCTTGTTATACAGAGTATGAAATTCTAAATTTGATTGTATTAAGAGGGTTAATCCAGATAGCAATATTGCCCAACTGCAGTATACAATAGTGGATAGTTTAGGAAAAAAGACCCAAAATTTCCAAGGCACATTAATATTTTCTGAACTATAAAACTCACAAAATGCAATGGTAATAAATAGTTGACAATGTATCAGCTCTTCTTGAATTCCCATTTTCCAAGAGAACAACTGATCTTGCAAATTCAGTCTAGTAAATTAGAGGGAGAGGGAGAGGTTTATTGGGGGGTGGGGGTGTAAGGCACCCTTTTCTGTATCTATATCCTCTTTCTTTCAAGGAACATATTTCATTTTTCAGAGGCCAGAGTAGTGATACCGTCAAGTCTTATGGTGAATATGAATCTTTCATTTTTGAATATTAGAAATTCAGACATTTCATTTCTTGCAGTTTATGATGGAGGATGGAGTCCTGTTCGAGACAGTGACACTGATTCAGGTATGTGCGTTGTCGTGTTGTAGGTTGGTTTATGCTTGTTTCTAATAGTCTTTGCAAGGGAATTATTTAATATTCTAAAAATTATCCCTTTATTTCCCTTATTTTGTCTCTTCTTCCTACATCTTTAATGGAACTGAATAGTTTATGGTGTTTTTCTTAATATAGTTTGGGCTTGGGAGAATAGCTATATATGTTGATCATCTACTTGTCATGTAGCTTACCTTTGCCCAGATATATCTTCATGTGCAATTAGCCTGTGAGAGAATCTCAGACAGGCCACTGGGGTATGGGGGTAAATACAGAAGTCATAGGGTGAGGTTGGTAACTGACTATCCCTGATTTGCTTTGATCTGACTAATGTTTGATTGAAAAGAAGCAAAGCAAGTATCAGATCAAAAAGGTGGATATATGTTGCTGCTGCTCATCTCAAGGTCTTTCAGAATAATTCATTGAAAGTGAAATAATAGAGGAAGGGGACAATGATAGAGACAGAAGTAAACAATGAATCATTTTTATACACGCATGTTTGAACACCCTAATAATAAAAGTTTTTTAGGGAATACAAAAGATGAATAAAGATACAAAAAAAGATAAAGACTACCAATAGAGAGCAGTTAAATAATAAATAGTTATTTGATTTATATTTTACCCCAATCAGAAAATATTATTAGCAAAAATGCAATACAACATCCATAGTAAAAGGCTAAAAACAATAAAATTATATCCCACTGTTACTTACACTACATGATGACATCAGCTCAACCTTCCAAGGCTCTCCAAAGTAATTTTGTTTTGAACAACTTAAAGAAAGCCTGTAAGGAGGGATTGAATTCCTGAGGGGAGGCTATTCCAAAATGTAAGCATATCCCTAATGAAGGTGCCTCTATGAATTTTTCCCCACCTCTATCTTTTAAAAATGTGTGGAATCAGAAGGTGGTTCTGAGATGTTCAACTTGAATATGTTCAAGTGGGCCAAAATTGAATAGAAAAGATGGCCCTATAAGCACTTTGACATCATATAGGTCTTTCAAGATAAAAAACAAAAAACAAACAACCCAGCACTTTAATTACACTTGGAGCTAATAGAAACCAACGTAGTGCACAGATGTAGTGTGCTCATTTTAGTGAATGTCCATCAGCAACTGGGCTGATGTATTCTGGACCAATTCTGAGACCACACTTCTAAGCAGGTTTAAAAGGCAATCTCATGTACTGCATGCAACAGAGAGTCCAAATGAGAAATGATAAGGATGTGAGTCACTGCCACAACATCCTGTAACTATGGCTGCAATTGGTATACAAACTGAAATTAGGCAATACTCTCTGGTCATGACTTTCACCTGCCCATTTAGCAATAGCTGTTACTCTAGGAAGATCCTTCTTCCTTCAAAATAGTACCATTCCATGAAGAACACTTGAGACATTGAAGAACTTTAATGAACAGATAGTAGCTCTATCGTGCTTTAGTAAAATTTCAGCCTTTTATATCCCATCCATACCCTCACAGTCTACAGACTTGGGTCATGAAATTGAGAGCATCTCCTGTCTACCCCAGAGTAATAATGTACAGATAGGTATTGTTGATAACCATACCTATATAACAGTTTTCATTACATATGCTAATTACTGTAGAATGTAAGATATAGCTCTGTGATAACACACAAATAAAAACACTAATTTAGTGTGCTTCTTGAAAGGTCATGATAATATTCTCTCTTCTAGGTCTACAAGGCAGAGTTCTGAGTTTCCCCAATGAAGCAAAAGGCAGTTTTGTGATCATATCCCCAATGCAGCCTTTGAATCTGATGGAATTCACACTCTGTATGAGGGTTGCAGTAGAGTATTTAGATGAACACAGAATAATTCTCTTTTCCTACCATTCTCAAAGTGATGAATTGAGAATCTTGCGTGAAACAATGGGCCACTTTGGTTTACACATGGGGGGTCGGAGTGTGAGGTTTGCCCTTCCTGATCTCAGCACTTTGGGGAGCCACATCTGTGTCACCTGGGAGTCAGCATTTGGACTTACAGCCTTTTGGATGAATGGAAAAAGTAGTATCCGAAAAGTGCATAATATGGGACACATTCTCCAAGCAGGTGGTACAGCAATGCTTGGACGGGATCAAGGTGCACAAAACATGCCTGATCAGCAAAAGCCACATTTTGTGGGAGAAATATCAGATCTCTACATGTGGGATTATGTACTGAAATCTCATGAGATAGAGAAAGTTTTGCAGGCCCATGAGTTTCCCAGGGGAAACATCTTTGACTGGAAAATATTGTCATATAAAATTATAGGTAATGTGATGGTATTGCCTAAGGGCTAATAATTCTGTGTGTATACATAAATACGTACGGAAATACTGTCCTATTATGTTGGGCAGCAAGCAAATAAGATTATTAGTATGAAATCTAAGATGTTGAAACATAACTAGTGAGCATTTTGTTCTTAGTTTGTAATTATTCATGCTGAAATTCCTTGAATTAACCCATATAATAAATATAATAAAATTGTCTTATGAATAACAAGTTTGCAAAAGCATATTTTTCTTTTTCATTTGATATGGCAACCAAAATATAAAAAGACATGCCTGGTGTCTGGAGGAAAAAAAAAACAGTTTTCAGCAAAAATGACGTAAAATGTTGTCACATGACTGTGGGATGATGCAAATGGCCATAAATACGGTCCAACTGCTGAGTGAAGTGCAGTCACAGGACCACCGGGGGGGGGGGGAAATAGGCCATTGGAACCTTTTTTAGGGGGAGGGGTCTGTCATAACTTCAAAAGATTGCTAAGCGACTGACCATAGGTCAAGGACTATATGTACATGATGATCATCCAATCTGCAGCTCTTCCTTCTGTTTCTGAAGGTTATTCCCACATACCATTATACTAACTTCTTGCTTTTCAGAACACTGAAAAATTGGGTATCATCCAGACTTAGGCAGCTCACTGCTTATCCTTAAGCCAAAATCCATTCTGAACATTAGCAAGCATTGGTCCCGACGCTGATCCATTTCTTACTTCCCTGCACTAAAAGTTGCTCATTCATTCTTGCTGTTTCTTTTTCTATGCTTTAGCTACAGCCAGTTTGGTGTAGTGCTTAAGGCATCAGGTTAGTATCCATGGGACCGTCCCATCTTGGGTACAAAGCCAACTGGGTGATCTTTGGACCACTTTCTCTCAGCCCTAGAAAGGAGGCAATGGCAAACAACTTTTGAAAAATCTCACCAATAAAATTGCAGAGACGTGTCCAAGAAGTCTCCAAGAATGTTTTAGATAGTTAACAATAAGTGGATGAATCCTCTTATCTCATGACCACTACGTTTGCTCCTTTGTTGAGGAAAGTTATCTAAGGCTTTTTGAAATTTTGCAAGGGTGGATACAATAGATGCCTATATACATTTTTGAAAACTGTTTAACTCTGGACCTGGTGTATCCCAGGCAATCAAAAGCAGCATTCCTGTGACACGTTTTTCCTTTACAAAAGACACAGAATTCAAGTAATCTGGAAGATTGGATGAGATCATCCTGTATTTTATGAAAAGATTCTGCTGGCTCAGTCACCTGCCTGGAAGGCACAGAGTCCCATAACATGAAAGCATGATGTTACCAGTTATTTCAAGGAGAGGAAGGGTAGAGTTCTTTCTTTGGGAAATGACCACATTTGATTAGAGTCAGGAACGGTAGTGTGTGTGTTTGTGAGTGTGTGTAGATGTATTTTAGAACAAACAGTAAAAAGATGGTTTCCTGAATCTAGCAGGAGAGGCACTTGTCTCCATAGCCAGTGTTCAGTGTCATATCCTTCTGAAGTCTCCAGGGGAAGGATAATGGGTAGGGGTGCCAGGAAATGACAGATTTCTGGTCTGATGCAAAGCAATCCCACTGGAGCAAAGGGGGTTATGGAAAGTATAAATAAAGCTGGTCCCAAAACAGCGTGAGAATCATTCATGAGAACACTGGTCTGAGAGAAAACGATGGTAGGTGGAATTATTACTTTTTTCACTTTGAAAACCTTTTGAACATTTTATTGTAGATATTTTTATCCTTCCTTGTCTATAAAAATAATTTACTTTTACTTAAAAAGAATGCTAACTTTTTTCACATAATTTAATGGGACAAAGTCAGGGATTCTTCTCCTTCTTTTCTAGTTAGTGTTGACTCCTGGTGACTGCCTAAACTAATCCCTGCAGTTTTCTTGGCCAGAGTTTTGGAAGTGGTTTGCCTTTTCTTCCTTCCTAGGGTTGAGAAAAGCGAATGGCCCAAGATCACCCTGCTAGCTTGATGCCTAAGACAGGACTAGAATTCATAATTCCCCAGTTTTTAGCCTTGTGCCTTAACCATTACTAAACTGGTTCTCATTATTATTCTACTTTATGTTAAATTGTCATTCAAAGGTATCCAGAAAATCTGCTGCAATATAATGATGGCTTGGGCTGCAATTTACTGTCTTGGACTTGTGAGGGAAGGTGAAGAGATTTTTTTTTAAAAAAAAGTTATGTTTTAATAGTGAAATATAGAAAACTACTGCCCTAATTTTTAAAAGACAGTGATTACACACTGAATGTGACTAAAACTAAAAGAGAAAAAATTATATAACGATAGATTATGATAAAAAAATAATTCAGTCCTTAGGCTTATCATTAAATATAACTGACATGGAGACATACTGTACCACTTTCTCAGTTTTAAACATAGAAACTTTTTGAAATCAAACTTGTATCCTGAATCCATTTCTTAAAATCAGGAAAGTAGACCTCTTTCCAATTACCTAAAATTATCATTTTGCTGTGCCCCAAGCTTGAAAAGGCCAAAGCTTTTAATGAGATGATCAATTCTATATTTTAGGAATATAGTTCAACATCACATTAAGATCCTTATCTATTACATTTCTTCCTTTGCACTTGTGCTGGGTCCCCATAATATCATTTTCATTTTGTTCTTAGCCTATGAATGAGACAATTTTAAGTCAATCTTAGCTATATTAGTGTTAAAATATATTCCCCACTTTTTTATTCCAATACTGTCCAAGGGTAACCTCAAAGTTATGATAAACAATTAATCTTCATCCGTTATGTTTGAGATGTGAGGTGAGTGGCAGAGACAGAAAGACAAGCAAATAAAGATAACATACAGATTGATACTGGGGGGTAGCAAATTTGATTCCTGTATAGTTTTCTGCTGAGTCAAGGATGGATGAAGTGTTTTCAATAGTGGGGAAAAATCATACAGTATGTACATGAGAAAGCTGTCTAAAATAGATCATCTTTACTTTCATTTGGGGATGTACAATATGCTTCTCTTTCTGGCGATTTACAAGAGAGTGCAATAGTTTCATAGCTCTTAAAGGATGCTACAAAAGATAGTCCATGAACATTTTCATGGGAAAGCTTGCCAAGATTTTAGGAATTATTTTTAGAGGGCTATACCAAAAGCAACAAAAAGTCTTGGAGCAATCAGGAACTATGGGGGAAGGGCTTGAATCTCAAATTAAGACAGAAGAAAAGATATGGTTTTGTAGAATGGGTTAAAAGCAAACTGCCAAGTTGCTGCCCTCTAGATATATTAGGATGGCAATTCTCAGAATTCCTGGGCAGGGAAAACTTTGTTTAGGATTCCAGATACAGCTGTATGTCTCTTGGTCAAAGTATGAGTTTGCCGTTCTTAGTGACCTTTTTATTTTCCCTTCTCTTCCATGAAGATTATGGAGTATGGTGTTTTCCCCTTCGGTTTTGATCCTACATGTTGCTTCTACAACACACTGCTTGACCAGCAAAGCCGGCTATGCAACTACATCAAGAAACTCCAAAAGATATTACAGAGACTCAGTAAACTGAACAGATGTTCTCTCGTTGCATATCTAACGGGAAATTCTTTAAGTGCTGCCGGAGCAGTTATGGCCATAGTGGGGCTGTCCTTGAGCCCTGCAACTCTAGGAGCCTCCCTCTTGGCTTCTGGGGTGGGTTTAGGAGTGGCGGCTGCAGGAGGGGCTGTTTCCATGACTTCAGACCTTTCTTTAGTGCTCTGTAACTCCAAGGAGGTGAAAAGAATAAAAAAAATTGCCCTGGCTTGTCACAATCAGATGAAGGAAACAATGAATTGCTTGGAGTTCCTGCACCGCAGTTGGAATCCCACCGATCCTTTCTTATTGCAGACTGAGAAAAATGCTTCTATTGCCCTTTATAATTCTGCCTGCTTCCTGGTGTTCTGTGGTCCTCAGGGCTTTCTGGTGCCTGAGCACAAAGAAGAGATGACAAAAGTGAGCTATACTCTACTCAGGGCAAAAATCCAGAAACTGGCAGAAAACCTAGAAGCCTGTGCAAGGCACATGGATGAAATCTGCAAGCTTTTAGAAAGAAGGAAAGCATGTTCTTGGAGGACAAAAGGATTAGAATGTTGACATAGGATCAATGGTCAGAATGACTCTGCAGCAACACAAGTCTTCTTGAAAAAAATGAAACATGGGCATAAAAGTGCTAAATACCAGTACTGTGATTTAAAATTAGTATTTTATGTACTCAGGAATTTTCTCTATACATTTCCTAGGATCTGCAATTCTCTGCACCCTTCTATTTTGTTTTATTTTTTGATAATTAACATTACAGAAACCATGGTTCTATCAGTTGTAGTCTATACTTTCAGCACATTTCAAGGGAAGTTGTTTGTCACAAAGCACCATACTTAGGTTTTCTAGGCAGGAAAAGTTTTCCAAAAGTCTTACTGAATGATAGCACAATAAGCTGAAGTTTCCTTAACACATGAAATTTCAATTAATGTTTCACAATAATAGAAAAAAATAGGGAATAATTTTCAAAGCTCTGACGGTAATTTTATTTGAATGCTCAAGGGGTCATGATGGAACATGCTAGGATGGATACAAATGTTTGGCAAGTCCAAAACCTGTTGAATTGTGAGAATGAGACAGATAAGCAAAGCCTAAATATTTCTGAACTTCTCCTTATGATGTTCTCATAACAGATGGAAATTTGCTCTACAAGTAGGGTTAGGACTGAATCATTTCTTTCCTTTCCTTTTGTTTCTCTGACTTTATAATCTTTGTCTCATTTGTCATAGCTATCTTTCATGTACTCTTTTCATACATATGCCAAAATATCATGTAGTTTTATATTTATTTATATTGGCCAATATTATTGAACTCTTTGTCTAAACGAATAAGTATAAGAAGTAACGGGTGGAAACTAATCAAGGAGAGAAGCAACCTAGAACTAAGGAGAAACTTCCTGACAGTTAGAACAATTAATCAATGGAACAACCTGCCTCCAGAAGCGGTGAATGCTCCAACACTGGAAGTTTTTAAGAAGAAACTGGACAGCCATTTGTCCGAAATGGTATAGGGTTTCCTGCCTGAGCAGGAGGTTGGACTAAATGACCTCCGAGGTCCCTTCCAACTTTATTATTATTATTATTATTATTATTATTATTATTATTATTATTATTATTATTATTATTATTATTATTATTGTCAACACAAGATAGAATAAGATATTCTTCACTGTATCTAAGGCAACATCTTTAAAATGCTTGAAGTCATTCTCTTTGTTAATATTTTCATTCAAAAGACATCATAAAGAAGCCAGAACAAGTCTTTTTTTAAAATTCTGTTAAAATTTCATTTTAAGAATTATTTTTAATAGATCGTTCCCCTGTGCCTTTATATTCAGAAACATTTTACTACAATGTGCAAAAATAACATTTTTTAAGAAAAGCCTTCGCAGATTGAATCTTTTAGTAAAAACTGTTTTATGTAAAAATTAGATGCTCCTCTTCACTTGAATTGATTAATCATTAGTTTTCTATATTCAAAATATTGTTGAATAGAAGGCTAGGAAGAAGAAAAACTAAACCAAAGATGGTGGAACGCATTCCTCAAAGACCTTTTCACAATGGAAAAGCCAGTTAGCCATGTATTTTTCTTTCTTTTTCTTCTTTCCATTTCTTTCACAAAGGAAAAGGCATGCTGGGATCAAAAGATAACAGAAAGGTTGAGTTGTTGCTTTATAATTCGATACTATAATGAACACCTTCCACGATCTTATTATGTCTGAAATTCATTTAACATACAAGAAACTGTAAGATTCATATGTCTTGATGGAACAATTAAGAATAATTTGGGACTGATTTGTGCACACGTTACAGAACTTCTTCACACATCTATAAATATTCATGCAAATAATTTCATAGTAATAGAGCTCCCAAATCTGGACATCAGATAGGGTCATCTGAAGATTTGCAGCCCAAATATGGTGGTAGTACAACCCACCCCACCCCTATTATCCCTACAAGTGGATGTCAGTTCTGTAAGCTTTTACATGTGGTACAGGAAATTATTCCCTGGGATGTGATAAATTTGGGACCAGACTCCCTAAAAAAGAAAGGAGAAAAATGGCAAAAATGACCATATGGTGTATGTCAGAAGAATGAGAAAATGTTTCTAGGTATACATGTAAGCTTAATTCTCACCCAGATATTGTGTTTTGAGCTATACCATTTTACAGAGCAGGTCTAGGTTTTATGCAATTGAATTCTTTCTCCTGTCTCTACAAATAAGAACAAGAGCTCACAACATGACATAGTTTTCCTGAAAGCCTGCCTTTTTTAGGCAGGGATTTTATTTTCCTGTTGGGGAGCATTCAGTCATATGTGTCCAAAGACACAGCTTGGGCTTATCAATAATGAGGAGTAAGCCATCAAGCTGTCAAATCCAAAGATAATGTGATGTTTCCCATTTCTTTATGTATTAGTAAAGAGTATCTTGGGAATTCTCAAGTTCCTTAAGTGATGGCAATGAAGGAATGTAAATGCATGAGAGCCAAAGTATGTGAGTATAAGGTATGTTTTGTGAAGATAGCATAGCAAATCTGATATATTCTTTGCCTGTCTGTCTTTGTGGGAAAGGAAGATGTGCCCATTATGATCTCTGGGTTATTTCAGTCATTTATAAAATCAAGAAACATATTCTACAGAATCCTAATGCAGTATAAAAATCAGAACAAGTATGAAATAATTTAATTATCTGTTATTTATATTATTTCTCCACAACTCTTGAAAAATTTACTTCAGAAATAGCAACTCCCTAAACATCTCAATGGATTCAGGATGTTTGAAAAAAATAATTACGATAACTGGTGTTACTTTCTTCATCTTCATATTCTTCAAATATACAAATTCAGCAGAAATTATCAGTGAGTATGGGGTAAAGTTCCATGACCATAATATTATGATCCTAGTTCTTTTAATCTAAGCTCCCTTCTGCTCTTCTACACATCTTGTTCTGAGCACACTTATTATAAACTTAAAACCAAGTGTGACCGTTTGTCCAAATGCATCATATTATGATTTATTCAAATAATAAACAAAATGAGTTCCCAAACGGTGGTCTAACTGCAATATATGCAAGTAATACTAAGCTATACTACCACATACTAAGCAGAAGCGTCTGATACTGATGTAGTACTGTAGCTAAAATATAGATCCAGAATACTGTGATCTGTAAGCTCCTGGGGCTAATGGATCTGAGTTGCAAAACTCACCATGACTAAAAGCAGAGAGCTAATGTTTTCTGCATCTCTTTGCTGCTATTTAGATTCTTGAAGTCCAGATCTTGTAGCCCTAGGATTTCCAGACGACTACTAACCAAGCAGCCTGATTCACATTTGTTAAACAAAATGCTGCATTGGTCAGCTGATTAAATTTGCAGCAGCTACACATATTATGTTAATGGCATACACTTTGAGGGAGGGAGATGGTTGTGATGAAATGCAGTCAATGAGGGGTTACAGTTTCACTATAAACTTTCACCACTAATGAAAAATGAGAATGACCAGAACAAAGTGATGTATTTATCTCCCTTTTGTGCTTTCTATTTTCAAACTGAAGAAGAAACAGAGTGCTACTAAACAAGCAAATGTGAACCAAAAGCCTGAGAAGGGAAACATGTATCACTGATCTAGAATCCTAACAAAGATATACAGTATTTCTGATGCCACACTGCATTATATAGGACATTTAAGCACTACTATCACATGATCCTATGGATTGTTGACATCAGTGGTGGGATTCAAATATGTGAACAACCAGTTCTCTGTGTGGATGCCGCTTCCGGAAGTCCATTCTGGGCCTGGGCAACAAAAAATTAGCTACCGGTTCTGCCAAACTGATGCGAACCGGCTGAATCCCACCCCTGGTTGACATACATGAAAGATTCCGAAGTTGACTTCCAGTTTGCCATCGCGGCCGCTGGAAGGCAAGCTCTGTCTTCCGCGTTCAGTTTTGCTCTGCTGGGGGACCCTGGAAAGGGCCGAAAGTTGCCCTGTAGGGGCGACGAGCAAGGAGGGGACCCCCGCTTGATCACGGGAAGGCGGCAGCCCTTCCGCTCGATCTAGGGGCAGCCCTCCAAACTGGCAGAGGAAAGACCGGCCATAGTAATATGGCCCGTCACTAGGCTGCAGACAGCCGAAGTCAAACTTACCACCAAGCACTTTGAAAGCAACACGGATAAAACTGGGTGAGATCCGATCTTCTCTTTACCCTAAGTATTTTCTTTTCCTGTAAAAGCTACCTGAAGTATCTTTCCCCCTATGAGGAGAGAGGGAAGGGAATTTCTATCCCACCCTCTAAGAATAGCGGCGACTGACTACCCAGGGAAATTAAAGCACTAAAAGAACAACTTTACTCTAATTGGATTTATATGTTCCTGAAACTTGGGGACCCAAAATTTTCCTACTTTTATTGGAGACTTTTGCTTTTAGCTACAAAAAAGAAATAAAATTGGAAAAAGGATTATAAAAATTTTGGACTTAAAAAACTTTAAACGGCATCGGTGACATCTTGTGGCGAAGGTTGATATTACAACTTGTTATTTCCTAAAAGAGACTTGGCTCGAAGCCCAGACCTTAGATAAGACTACCTGTGAGAAACTCAGCTTTAAGAGAACAGGTGGGTGGCATAACTGGCCTACTTGAAGTATGAATGTAAACCTTTACTGACCTTCAGAGTTATATGTGGGGAATTGCCTTCCTATCTCTTTATTTGAGGAATATTGGTTACTATATGAGATGATAGACTATAAAATCTTGCTTGACAAACGACTTCTATAATAAAGACTATTTATAAACATGTGAAAGAGATGGATGAAGACCAGGAAAAGATCCTTTCCATGTTGAAAGCAATACATGAAACCATTCTTTCAGCTCGTGATAAAATAAGACCTAATATAAAAGATCAAGATGCCAGCTTAGATACACAAACCCAAACTTTGACTACAACCAAAGAACTAACAATGCAGAAGATAACAGAAGAAGTGGAACAATCAAATATTAAGACAGAGGACTCAATTGACCAACAAATACAGTTAAATCCAGAAAAGGGAGCAACAACACTGAAAATGGAAAAGACTTTCTATATAAATTAGAAGAAATTTGAGAAAGAAGAACAGATTGAATGGAAGATAAACATATCAGGGCAATCATGGGAAACTGGAATAATAGAGAGACAACTTAATGAATACAAATGGGCTCGTCCTTCCCAAAAAAAATGGCAATTAAATGGTCTTCTTTATTTCAAATAACATATATAATAATAGAGGGAGATCTATTTGACGATCTAAAAGCACTGACATGGAAGGCTAGTTGGCAAAGGAAGAAAGCCAGAATAAGGCTGAAGAAAATTGGAGTTTTGATTTAATAGAGGGGATTTCATATTATTAATTAGAGGGTTAAAGGGAGAAGCTGAGATAAGGGGAATTCTGCTCACTAGATTTAAAATATTTGGAAATTAGTTGAAAATAAGGATTTTATCTGTTTAATACTTAAAAATTAGACCTA